CGAGTTCTCAAAACAACGTGTACAGGTATGATTCCAAGCTCTAGCAGATTCCGCGATGCAGGGAAACTTTGAGAAGTGAAGTAGAAGTAAGCAATACCCGGTCAAGTAGAAGTGGCAACGTACAGAAACCCACCTGACTGCCTAGCTCAACAGTTTGGGCTAGTTCATGCAGAAAGCAGCTGGCCGTTCGTTCCAATTTGCCGGTCGATTTCCCTCCCATTTTCCACCGTCGCTACACATGATCTTAAGGCAGAGCATTTATCACCTGTTTTAGCAGGAAAACGAGAAAGGACATGACTTTTTCGTTGAGATACCTTCACGTGCATGCCGGCCGTCGCACTGGGATGCGAACCTTTCCACGGAGTGCTCGAGGTCAATTCTGGAAAATACCGAAAACAATGTCGTCTGCAAACACGGATCTCGCTTCTCCACATCTCCTAGCCACTACACTCGTTGCATTGGCTGCGAATGGCTATTTTATCCATGTACAGCAACAACGACACAGGCGACAGGATGCAGCCTTCGCTGAGACGAGTGCCAACGTTGAACGACCCGTTGTCTCTCACTCAGCACTTGCTGTCAACAAATAGTGATTGGATGGCTCGTTGCAGCTGGCCATCGACCCCATATATTCGCAGTCATACCCATAGGTTGTTGCGCTGGATCCGGTCAAACGTTTTCTCAAGATCCATGAAGCAGCTTAAACCGGACGAACGAACTCTAGCGATTTTTCAACAATCTAAGGTAAAGCGAAAATCTGCTCAGAGGTGTTTCAGCGTGACGTGAAACCACACTGCTCTTCTTGCATCATAGAGTCACTGATTTCGTAGTACCTCCTGTCTGACACCTTTCTGTAATCCTCTTCCGGGACGCACATCAACGTGACGCTGGAGTACTTCCTGTGATCTCCTTTCTTGAAGAGAGGAACCATAATTCCAGTTCTTCAGTCCACTAGTGTCTTACTCGTAGTAATTGCAGTTTGACAGACATGTCTCCTTGCCACAACACGTTTTCGTTGGCTGCAGCTTTAAACATTTCAGGGCAGATTTCATCAATCCCAACAGCCTTGCCGCTTTTAAGCCATTTAGTAATATCCTCTCCTTGCTGCTCTTGAAGCTAGTTCTCGTGCGGCACAATCGCCAAAGCTGAAGTATATTATCTTCCTTGGTAAGAATGCGTAGGGAATTGCCGTTAAACACTGTCAAACTATCCTTCTTTCCATTTTTGAGTGGGCGGATGGCCTGTCAGAATATCCTGTATGTGCTCAGAAAATTCGACCACAGCTCCTCATTGAATTTTTGTTAGGAATGCTAGGATTTTTGCCTTCCTCTCTGCGCATTTCTTCGCATCTCATTCGAATTCAAGCTACCTGTTTAACGCTGTCTTTTTCTCACCGTTGGTCAGTTAAACAACTGGTGTTTCCCAGAAAATTCGTCTCTCACCCTGAGACGGCAGATCACCCTCTTCGAGCTGCAGCATTCAGTAACAGCCTCGAGTATGCCGCTCCTAAAGAGCTACCACTTGGTTTCAACATCAGTTGTCATCGCTGGGATCTGTTCAAACCGTCGTGCGATGTTGTTTGCAAATTTCACTCCCGTGTCCACCAAAAAAGTGTTTCCCATTTGATTCTCCGGTTGCTTCTGCCACAAGATCTTCGTATGGTACAACGCAGCGTGTCAACAACAAGGTGATGATCGGCTGATAGTTCTGCGCCTCTCTTAACACGAACATCCATTACTGAGTGTCTAAGTAAAACGATACGATTATCAAATCGATCATCGACTTCTGTGCACAAGCTTCCCGGTAAAAGGTGTACTGATGCACTTTTCGATGCTCGAAGAGTGTTCATAATGGACAGTCCGTTGTTTGCACAAAGCCGCAGTAAATTCATGTCTTTATTGCTGAAGTTACCAGGGCCGATCCTTCCCGTCACTACTTCCCACTTTCAGCAGCTGTTCCGATATGTGCATTCAAATCTCCCATTAGACTGAAGGACTCCATACTTGGCACTTCCTCAAAGAAAGTGTCATATTCTCCCTCCAAATTTGGCGCGTAGACCTATAACAAGATCAGTGCCTTCGCCTGTAGCAACTTCAGTCAGACTCAGTCTTCCACTTCTCCCTGAGAGGCTTATATTCAATGATTCTGTTAGTCAAGCTGTGCTCTATCAGAATACCAGCCTCGGCCTGAGATGTGTCATAAAGTCAACACCTGATTAGAATAGTTTTTAACCGCAGAGGTTGAGCATTTCAGAGTCCTGGCACTTTATTGACGAGAGTCCAACTAGGTGAGGTCAGTATTCAGCATCATTCGGCTTCGTCAACTAGCTCCTGCTCTTTTTCTCCAGTGAGATGTTCCAATTTTGGACTGTGACTTCCCACAGTCGGTATCGTTCCAGTGAAACTTTATCTGACGTGCCTGGCAGACGGCACTGCGCTGACTGCATCATTCATTCAGAACGGAAGTGTCTCCGTGGTTGAGCGGTATCTTGGTCTTCTTCTTGTCGATCTTAAACAGGGTTTTTTCATTTCTTTTCACAATATTTTTTCTACTCTATGTTCCGTGGGGAAGGAAGCACAAAGAGGAAACTACGTAGGCAAAAAATTTAACTAAAAAATTATCAGGTGTAATTAAACATAGATAAGTGACGCGGCAAGGATCAAAATGAACGAAATAAAAACAAAAAACATACAAGAAAAAAATGTATTCACACCTTCCACTAAATCTGAAGATCTTATATATATTAGTTTTATCTTTAAGGACACAACCCATTTGTTATTAACCGGTACGGTTACGGACAGCGTCGTAAAAGGCAGCCAGCAACCAACTTGAACATCATATCAATGGAATCGCATAAACGCGCAACGGCTTCCAGAATCAAACTTTAGGCAAAGAAATTCAGGTGGTAATCACCCTTCTTCTTTGCAGATGGCAGCAAGCAATCCGTAATCACTATGAGAAGGTATTAAGAAATTAACCAAAAGGCACACATTTATTCATTAACCACAGTAACAGAAACCATATACAACAGAAATACACAACGGAGATCTATGCCTCTACAATGCATCAGGAAGTCTGCAGTCGTTTCCTAACAGCATGTCCGTAAAGTTCACGAACTTCCCTTTGTAGCGCATCTCCAGGAATACTGATTCGTACTCGTTGTCAGAGCAGTTCATTTTCTTGCCCACAATCTGCCCTTGCTCGATTCGCTGGTTGCCGGGCTCAGTGACAAATTTTACATTGTACAGATGCACGGTAAAATCTAAAAGAACATGAGCATTACGTAGGTAGGTGAGGCTAGAAGACAAATGGCAATGGCGACTGTGGCCCAACTTACCTTTCCACTCGTCAGAGCCCAGAATGAACACCCCGTCATTCGAACAGCTGTACCCTTCGTGGACGTCGTCAACGGAGCGTGGTCGAAACCGTCCGAGTACTTCGCCTTTTATAGGAGAATAAATATACGGCATTCTGGTAGCCTCCGGGTGGGCTTTGGTAGGTTTCACTTCCATGTCGGGACATTGGATCTCCCATCCTTTGCCGTAGCCTCTGTACACGGTAACCGACGTTTAGCCAATGTATAATCAGCAGGTTGGTATAACTTACTTCTCATCCTTGAAGCTTGGATACACGAGTGTGTTGTCAGTATTGGACTCGCAAACCTGACCTGTGCAAAAGCCTGGAATGAGGCCATAAATTATAAACCGTGTTTATAAAGTTATCTGCCTAATAATAAATACATTCTTTCATATGGTAAGTCGGGTCGATCGGCTTTCCTTGACGAAATAGAAAAAATGACACGTACGGCTCGAACACGGAATAGCGCTCAATAGCGCAGTTGTGGTTTATGCTGTAGCCAATCACGTCTCCCTTTTTCACACGGCCACCGTACATGATCGGTTTTATGTAGGCAATGATGGCGAAATATCCTTAATATCACAGAAAATCTATAATCAATGCGTATTTAACAATTTCTGTATTCTGTTATAATAGCTTTAGTACGTATACAACGTTAACGGTATGAAGCAATCGTTTAATCCGCTGTAAATCAAGAACTGTGGCGACATGTACAACGTTTCTTTTTATGAAAGCATGGACAGATACATTCAAAATAATAAGGGTAGCTTACCCGGTCTGGAGGCTGAAACACCAGCACAAATTCAGAGCAACTTCTTTCTTTTCAGTGAACCGCGCTTTTCCCAGGTTAAGAGATCCTATGGAACGATTTGGACATGTGATGGGAATGGTAAAAGAGAGATTCGTCAGATTCAGTCTATAGACGCAAGGCTCAGAGACAAACCTCTGATCAGATAACTCGTTCATACAGATCCGGCAGTAAGTGTCGCGACTTTTAATTCACACTATTCACCTCATCCGTTAGGCGGCCACTGGAACCACTAGAAAAATTTTCTGCGACAGTTACTCCCTTGTCTCGAAAGGAATAACGGGCTTTGAGATGAATCATCTGACGAGCTTCCATCCGTGAGACTGTGTATGGCTGAGTACATTTATCAATTCATGCATTTTCAAACTTAACGACCATTTCTTTCGGATTGAGGCGGCAGATGCTTCGAGAAGCATTTGCAATAACACCGGTCCGCCGTTAACCAGGAAAGTTAATGGTCTGGATGTAAAGACGCACAACGCTATGATCGATTGATCTGGTCCATCACCTGCGTATGAGTTGTATTCTCCTCGGCTTTAAGAATATTTCTAACAGTCATATAACAGTATTCTTCAAAAAGGAACAATAACATTTGCAAATTAAGCGTTTCAGAATTAAAAATTTGAAAATTAATTAATTTGAAAATAAAAATTTATTTGCAGGTTTACGACAACCCTATTCATTGATATCACTGAAAGGATGAAATTGTTTCGGGGTCATTGATGCCGTAATCGTCAAGCATTCTCGGATATCCTCCGGCTATTCATTATTATCATTTCACCTTGCTCAGTGTAAATGCAAAGCAATCTCTTTTCAATGATACTGTTTGTTTTGATCGATTCGTTTTATTTTACTGCTTTTAATCTTCATCTTACTGTACCTCCTTGATTCGTTCTTATTCTTAAGTCAAGGTTCTGGTTGCATTCATTCCGTTCAGTGGCCGGTGACATAAAGCAATGCGAAATATTCTTTTTTCTCTTTTTGTCATATTACCTATTTGCAGGATGAAAAATTATGCCAATCAATCAAATCTTCGTCTTCAGTCATTTCATTTCTTTCAAACAAACCATAACTGGATCTCTCAAACTTTTCTTCGATCGAAAAAAGCAGTTATCTCTCACTAATTCCAGAACAATCCTTTGAGTTGAAAGAAAATCACCATGTTGGAGTGAAACTCACTTTAAACTCAGCAGATGGACTCATGTGCAAAGTTGCCAGAGTAATAAGGTGTCAAAAGACCCTTCTCTTTATTGTATGTAGCCATGGTTAGAGACAGTTTGTACTCGGTCCACATCGATGGATGGGTCAGAAAGGAAGTACCCATGACAACTGGCTCTCACAAGGCACAGTACCTTTTCCATCGCTATGGAACTCCACATCGGCGGGCTCCCACCAAAAACGTCGAAGAAGTTCATTTATGCCGATGATATCACACTGGCAATGGAGCACACCAACCCACAGATTCCTAAACTTACTCGAATGGCTGGCTTAATTATTTTGAAGCAATATTTTCACGAGTGGAAGCTACATAGAAACCTGACGCGACGGTCCTCCATCTGTACAATGGGTTGACGAGGATGAAACTCACAACTGAGTCCTGAGGTCAATGGTGTTGCACAGATGACTTCAAACTACTAGTCGTCACTTTTGATCGAATCCTCACGTTTAAGGAACACACTAAAAAGATACAACAGCAGATCAAGGGGAGAGAAATCTGTCATGAAAACCTGTCGGCACCTGTTGGGGTGTAGCTATCTCAGTGCTTCGTACCACGACCATGACGCTCATGTACTCTGCCGCAGAGTACTGTTCCCCTGCTTAAAGCTACAGCCGCCAAGGAAACGATGCAAATTTGTAACAGGAACCCTGAAGTTGGCTAAAACTCAGTGGTTGTCGATTCTGACGCATACTGAACCTGCGCAGCTGCGTAGGAAGAAGCAGGCGCCTCGCATTTTTCAGACCATTGATACAAATCACCAACTTCTTATACACCGTGTCCTCCAACAGACACCGGCACGACATTTCAAATCACGTCATCCCCCATGGTAAAGAGCGACGAGGCCATGGCTGAGTCTTGAGGAACAGTGACATGCAAATTGGGATGCTACAACCGTTCATAAAAAGCACCTTACCTGCAACCCGACCCCAGAGTCCCCTGGCATGAAATTGGTTCGCCAAAAATTATCGACACTAAACCGGATTCGAAGATGGAAGGGGGCATGCGAACAACTCTTCCGCCGTTGGAATATGAAGTAAAACCCACAATGTGACTGTGATCATGAAAATCAAACCATGCAGCACGTGATTTTCTACACCGGCGGCATCATGACTGATGTCCAGTATGCTACCGCGGCGGTTTTTCATTGGCTAAAATATCCGGACATTGAACCATAAAGCTGCTAATCATGTCTCCCAGCTATACAACCGAAGAAGAACTCATCAAGACTTCCAGACCTAAGCTGTCTGGAATCAGATGACGAAGCTCAGCCAAGTTCAATACCTAATTGTTACAAGGAAACAACAGCCACATTCAGTGTAGAGAACAAAACTGAGGAAAGATATAAAAGAGAGAAATCGTGTAAACTGAACTGAATGAAACACAAAGTTCAAGAAACTGTGCTACTTGAAAACCTTTTATGAAATTAGTATCACTTTTATGTGCATCGATATCAAACATATGATATGATATGCAAGAATCTGAACCAGCACTTCACGGAACTGAAATTTTAACAGAAATCATCATCAGTCTTTTTGATCCATTGCTGGACGAAGGTCTCTCCAAGACTTTGCCACAAATATCTGCTTTCTGTGATTTTTATCCATCTTGATCCAACGAACTTCTTTAGCTCACCTGCCTTCGATGTAAATGTTTTACCAAGGCCATTTACTCTCTCCTGCTCTTGGAACCCGGTTTAATGTCTCACTGGTCAAGCCATGACCGGTTATGACTGTTCCATGTCTATCTCAGTGCTACTTTAACATCTTCATACAACGAAATCGCAGACTCTTGTTTGTGATCTTACCCATTCATCGTCTTCCAATTTTTTCATGCCATTCCCAACATACATGCTTCCATTCTACGCTGTGCAGTGTACAGTTTATAAATGGTCAAAAAATGAAATGCATCATTCACTTAAATTCTTCTTCAATTCGAGAAGACATAAAAAGGCTGTCAATGACAGTAGTTGGAAAACAGAACGGTTAGATGCCTGGAAAATTTATCTTTTAATTGAACCTCTCATAACTTACAAAGTTGTTTCTTCAGAACAAATTAATAATGTAGAGAGAAGATATCTCTCAATATTCAAGTCGATCTTTATCCCCATACTTACCTACGGTCATGAATCGTGGACCATCACTGA